CGCATGCGCGTTTGCTCCCCTACCTTACCTCTTCTACGCTGTCTCTCTCGCCTCACCGACGCAAGGAGCGTCTGCTAAGCTACGCTTGCTTCCCCCTCTCTCTCCTCTAGAAATTCCTCCCCGATGTTTTCTCTACTCATCTCTCTACTACGTTCCCCTTCTCTCGTCTCGCAACGCCGACACATACCTCTTTTACGCTGCCTCTCTCGTCTCGCAAGGACTCGCTCGCTGGATTCCGTGCCGACCGGTTGTGCCCTCGCGATTTCCGCCACTCAGGTCGTCGCCAGCCATGGGTTGATGGCCATCTAACACGTAATCGTCCGCAGTTACTTTCTGACGAAATGAAGTTTTACCATCCATCCGACAACAGCGTAGCTCTGGCCGACTGGGCAGCAGGCCCTACGCCATCTCCTTCGCCGATCTTCGACGACAGCGTAGCTCTGGCCTACTGGACTTGCCTTACGCTATCTATCTCTTGACGCCGACAACAGCTCTCGCCGAGTGGTGCCCCGTCCTCGGACTCCTGCAACCGTGTCCATCTTTCCTGTCTTCTCCTTATTTCCGTCGTTCGCTGTCCCTGCGCCTCACTCTCTATCTCTTTACCTTTTAATCCCTTTTCTACCCCCATCCCTCGTGAGCTACTGTCGAGGTGTCCTCCCCCCGAGAGACAGTTGCGGGGCTCACTTTTCTCTTTTCACTTAAAATCACTCCCCCCCCCCCCCTCGCTTCGCAACACCGCACCGACACAGAAGCGTCTGCTAACCTACGCTCGCTTTCCCCTATTTCTCCTCTAGGCATTCCTGTCCCGCTGTGTTTACGCTTTATGCGCGTCTTCTCTCTGCTGCGTTCCCTTCCTCTCGCCTCTCAACGCTGACACATGCCGGCGTAGCGTAGCAGTAATGGTGATGAACAGAAGCCTTAATGGGCAGCCAGCCAGTTCGTTTTCAAAAGTTTTCTCCCCTCTGTCTGGTGCAAATATTTCGAATACACTTTATTTTAAGCTAGATAGAACATTATAAGAGTCAGTCCTTGACTTCGAGCGCATCATTTTATCTGAAAGCGTGAAAAGGGCCCTTGCTCTAGCATACCTTTAAAACACAAGATTTCTGTTTCGGTGTTGGAGAGTAATAAATGAAGTAACCGGAAGTTTCTTGGGTAGCAACACGTGCTGCTGCTATTACTATATTGAAATCGTCCGAAAAGGCGAATATATGTTGGCACTGGGCCTTGCCCTCCAAAGTATACATATAGTGCCGGTGGAAGATTTCTCCTGTGCGTTGTTGAACAATGCATATCTGCAGCGTGCGCGTTAAACAAAAAAAAATTGCCCGCAGCTTCCCTCGGGGGAACACTGAGGAGGATGCGGACCATATAATTGGTTAACGGGGTGTTAAAGTGCGACTTACTTGGGTCGATGGCTAAATTGGTTAACGTGGTTGTGAAATGGGGTGTTAAATTGCGACTTACTTGGGTCGATGGCTAAATTGGTTAACGTGGTTGTAGGAGGGGGTGTTAAATGAGTGAACACGTACACACGTATGCGAAAGGGCGGCGCTGGTCGAAGGGACGTCGATCATTGTGTTTGTGGATTCGTTGAAATTCATTTCACCGCGACCTTGGACGTCGACGCGCCGTACAAACCAACCGACGAGTGGCAACTGAGCGAGCGAGCGCCGACCTTGAGTATATATACAGCTCGACGGCGCATGCACTGTCAGCTGTTGAATGTTCTCGAAGCGCGACGCCACATGCGCGTCCACTGGAGAATCAGGAGAATTGTAGATGTCGAACGCGGTGTGTAGAGGAGGAAGGGTGCACAGATGGTGGAGGAGCGAAGCGCGCGCGGTGTGTAGAGGAGGAAGGGATGCACAGATGGTGGAAGAAGGAGGAGGAAGCTTGCGGACGGCGCCGCACTACAAGCCTCGAGTATTAGATGCTCCGCATTTAAAAGAATTACCCCATTTTACCGAAGGGGGCCATGAAGTGACGCGAATCATCGCGGGAGTTTCCAACACAACGTTCATGCGATGCGTGGTAACGAACCAAGTTAACAACGTGCAAGGATCAGGGCAAACCGGTAAACACCGCCGTTTAAAAACACTCTTGAACTTCCCCGCGATGCTCCTCATCACCCCATGAGGTGGTGTAATTTTTTCTTACTACCTAACTGTGGAGCTGCTTAAAGGGAGACCAAAAAGAAGCAACGACTTGGTTTAGACTGACAAACTGCGCTCTGATAATTGTAATGCTACATGTTTCACTATCATAAACTCGTTATTAGCGGAGAAAATCGAGGTTGACGTTTCATTTCTGAATTTCTCGCCGAAATCTCCGTGCGTGACGTCGAGAATTTCAAAATGTATTTTTCGTATTTCTTTAAATGCTTCGTATATTCTTAAACTACGCACGCTCTAGGTCTATGGCATCCACGGATGAAAATGTACTTGTTTTTTACTGATTAGAAGCTACGTAGGACCCGGTAGACTCCTTCAAAATCTATGACGTCGCGGAGCTTTTGTGCAGGAATGTCGAGGTGGCGTCTCCTATCGCATTTTTCTTTTCTTTTTTTTAGTAGTAGTAGTACTTTTAAGCTATCCCACGTGTATTCGCTTGCCGAGCTGCACGTCATGGTTAGAGTGTTGTATACAATACTGATACGCAAAAAGTCATTTTGCTCTTCAGTGTCCCTAAAAACCGACGGTGTTGGTCGAGCAGAAATCCATCATCATCATTGTCAGCATCATCATCATCCTCATCAGAAACCGGCACGTTCTGCTTATTCTCCAGAACCCGTCGCCGATTTGGCCGGCGTGGAATGCGATAGCTAGGATGGACGAAAGAACGAGCAGATGGAATGAGAGAGCGATAGAACTGGAGAGAAAAAAAGGGATGTGGAGGGCAGGAAAATATAAAAAAATAATTATACAAAAACGACACTACGCACACAAAGACCAACAGCTCTTTGTGTGCGTCGTAAAAGACATGAGATACTGTGAAAGTGATGACACATGGAAGAGAGAAATCAGAGAGCAACACTGAAAGAGAGAGAGCGTATAATTATTGTCTTGTTTTAACGTCACGAAACCGTCGTACGATTATAGGCGACGCCGTGGCGGAGGGCTCCGGAAATTTCGACAACCTGGAGTTCTTAAACGTCCACCTAAATCTAAGCACGCGGGCCTGGAGCGTTTTCGCCTCCGTCAGAAATGCGCCAATCGCGGCCGGGATTCGATCCCGTGACCTGCAAGTCAACAGTCGAATGCCTTAGTCACTACACTACCGTGGCACGTGAGAATAGATGATGGAGACCCGGCTCGATGTCCTCGTGGTCGGGCAAAGTGTGGAATTAGGGAAATATGGTGAGGGAAAGCGAAAGAAAGAGGGGGCGAGAAATAGGGAGGCAGAGACAAAGAGAAGGGAAAGATATAGAGATGGATAGGAAAATAATCAGAAACGAAAAGGTAGAAAGAACACAGAAAGCATTGAAAGCACTCTTGAAGCCATCATTGAAGTGTCACTATACGCAGCCAATCCTCCCTGAATGGGTATGTGTCACAGCCGTGGGAACACAAAACAGGCTAGCCCAGCTGCGCACTTAATTCAGGTGTGGCACTAGTGCGGTGCTGCCCTACTTTTGGGCTAGTTCACGTACACGTGGTCATTCGATGTCTTCGGAGCCGCTAGCACGCACACTAGAATGAATGTTTCCAGGAACTTCCCGCGGGAATCTCCATATAACGAATTTTCGGTTACACCGCAGTAAACTAATAAGTTTGTGTGGTGGTTCATACATTTTTTAACGTTCGTTTATAACGAATTTTAGGATATGGCAAATGTATCTGCGTGCGAGATGTGACTTCGTTATCGTGAGGTTTTCCTGTATACGTGTAGTGTTTGAATCTCTGGGGTCGTTTGGATGTGTCGGACGCGTTCCGTCGCAAATCAAGTTTCATGCACCTGGCATATCGTGGAGCCACTTTACAGGGAACCATTCAGAACGCCAGTGCACAGTCGTACGTATACATACACAGGTGTGTGACCAATATTCAAATTAATATTAATTTGCGCAGGTTGTTTCCGTGACGATGCGCGGCGCTTGCGACCCATACGTGTTCAGCGAACGTAACTGTTAGTGCATTTGCAGTGCACTGCCGTTTTTTTAGGTTAGATAAGGTTTAGAATGAAGGTCGGGTGAACCGTAGACCTTCAAGCTGCTGTAGAACGGATAGCGCGCGCAGACAGCAGTGCCAGCGAGGAGGACCGTTTTGGTGCTCGTCCTTCCCGTTTCGAGCCGTTTTTTGGACCGCTGATCGCTTTCGCCTGCGCTATAGTTCCTTAATAGGCACATTAAGGCCTCAACGCTAAACGCGTACTATCAAGTGGTGGAGGTGCTGGGTGTCGATCTCCCAACATACAAAACTGAAGTGAAAGATAAAATAACGGGCTTAAGACTCAGCGGATAGCGGCTGTTCAGAGTGGCGCCATATATCGCTGCCAGTATTTGGAACTGTGAGGACGCACTATGAACTTGACAGCTTGGCAGTACTTTAGCTACGGCGCATGTAAAACGACTTCTTGATAAACCACGGCGACTGAACTTCGGCCGTATCTGCTTACCCCACCAAGTTTGAGCAGGGTAGAATGACTACATATACGCTTCGTAAATGCGGCGAAATCGCGATAAACTTACTTGACGTCGGCCTATTTCCGAAGCTTGCTCAACGCCGTAACCTTCTACAGGAGTCCATCGGACGTCCCCTTTCTCTATATGGCCTACAACGGAAGTTTCGCAAGTTTCGCTTACGGGCTGTACGTAATCGCGTGTTGTCTTCGCCTGCTGTCCTGATTGGATGGACGCGCAATCGATAAATACGTACACTAGCTGTCACGTGGTCTTCCTTAAATGGCAGCGGGCATATAGGGATATGCCCGAAGTAGCAAGCGGAAGTAAACAAGAAAACGCGTAAAAAAAAGAAAAATGGAAGAAGGCGTCTGCTTACGTCATTTCGTCGTCTTCTTCGTCCTCCTCTACGATCGACAGCGGTCTTGACGGTGACTCGTCGCTTTCGTCGTCCGTCGAGTCTCGCTGCATGCTTATTCGGTCCACGAGCGAGGAGGAAAAGGCGAGGTAAACTGTAGGGGCGTCTCCAACGAGCCAGCGTCCGATCTTCCGTTATGGGGGGGTCGTTCCGCTTAAGCGAGGGGCTGTGTTATTGCCCGCTTGTAAACTGCACTCTTTCTTTTTTTTCTCCCTCGCTTCTCCTAGCGTTGTTACATTTTACTACTGTACTACAGCTATCTACGGGGTGCACGAATCTGCGATAAGTCTGCAGCCGTTGCTGCAGCTAGCGCGAGTTAGCCCTGCTTGCAGCCTGACCGCTGCCGGCTCGCCACAGAACACGCCGCGACAGTTGCGTGCAGCGGCCGTTTTCGTGTCTGCCGTTTTTTTTTTTTTTTTGGACCTATAGCCGACGCGCTAGCGGACGCCACTTCTGGAATCGCACCCTACTGTTTTATCCGAGATTGGAGGCGAATGACGGGCACGTGTGTGCGGCTCGCAGCTTTCGTTGCGGTCGCGGGTGTCTCTAAAACTGCGGCGTCGAGCCGGTGGGCTTCAGTCTCCACCGCGGCGAAATGTAGTCCTGTGTGCACGGTAAAAAATTAGGTTGAATTGCCGTGTTTATGCGTTTAGTGGACGCCACTTTCCAAAAAAATGGCTAAAGTTGGCGCACAATGTGCTTTTAACACCGACAGACTTTCGCGACATTTTTTTCGTCGGTCTTTTCGTTCGAATGAGGGGCGGAGTGATACGGTATTTGTGAATGGCGCGAGCGTGCTGCGGCCTCCGCTTGGAGTCGCGCGCGCTGCACGCAACTGCGTAAATCAACCGCTCCTGTCAAGGCACCCGCTGCGCGTATTATGTTCTCGGCTCGAGCGCGTCTCGCGCTCTCTGTTCGGGACACCTGTGGCGCTAATTCTGCGGAAGGATCCCTTACCTACTCCAGGGCTTCTACGATCTCTGTGTATTTGTGAGTGTGTGTGTGTTTATTGCGCGAGCGGTGCGGCCGGGCGCCCTTTCGCGACGCCGCAGACGTGTATACCCGCCTTTCCTGTTTAATTCGAGACGGCGCGACGTCCGTTCGTTCGTCTCACTTGGCCGCCGTTCGAGGTTGTCGCGTGAGCGGTGAATGGGGCCGCTGTATATACGTGGTACGAGAGCACTCGAGCGATAGCTAGCCGCGTTTCCCGCAAAAGTTACTAGAGCAAAATTTCTGCAGCGATATACCTCAGGTGCTTGTCTGTAGTTTTGGATGCATTTGCGACCATGCGCTACTGGAATTCGTTATGTCTCGTTCATTGCCTGTATTTATATGATCCACAATGGCGTAAAAGTGGCGCAGAAAGATGGAGCCAAGAAAGTGAATACCGTAAGCGCTGTATGAAGACAAAAACAAAGAAGTGAACACCGTAAACACTTGCGGCGTTCACTTTCTTGTCTTCGTCTTTTTGCGCTACTTTTACACTATTTCGGATCAATACCAACTAGCTCGCGTCTCCGTATTGCTTCACTTTGTATGACAGTTTTTTTTTGTGTGTGTGTAGTAATGTGTAAAAAAGAATGTGTACTACATTTGTTGTTAATGTTACAAGCTGCCACTCTAGCGTCGCCAGCGCGAAGTCGGCGACGGGAATGACAGCAGGTCAGTTCGTTCCGTACGCAAGCAGAGACAGTGAAGAGATCAGAGACTTGGGAAAACAAAACAAACTTTACTCTAGTGATATGGCAGCACACGTGATCTAATACAACACTTCAATACAACTAACAAAAATACATCAACACTTGATACAACTAAAAAATATATAAACAAAACAATAAATCAGCTTACGAGAGAGAACTATTACGAACTACACAAACTAACAACAATAGAACTACGGAGGAGAAAGTTCGAAGATATAAACAGGTGAAGGCATACGTGTGATGACCGGCAGCGTTGCGCCCCCGACGATCGGATGCGAGAAGCCGAAGATAGTTCTGGCACGACTGCGATGTCGGCGGTGTTCCTACGCTGGTGGCTCCGGGAGGCTAGTGCTTGCAGGTGACCTCGGGCAGGTTGAGCTAACTCGAGGCGAAGTCCCGATGTCTACGTTGCAGACGTTAATATCGCGTCACAACTAGACGAACGGCTAAGTTTAGGTGGCCAGCCGATACAGAGCCACACTAAAAACTTCTAGAAGAGATGCTTGTTGATCTGTTTCTACACCATGTTGGTCAGTGACTAGTCTGCCTAGCAGGGCAAAATCCTACGACAGGACGTGGGCGGGAAGCGAAACACGACTTTCGCCCCCTCGCTCCTCAAATTTGTAAAGGAGAACCGCGCTCCCCGCCGCGGTGGTCTAGTGGCTAAAGGTACTCGGCTGCTGACCCGCAGGTCGCGGGTTCGAATACCGGCATCGGCGGCTGCGATTCCGATGCAGGCGAAAATGTTGTAGGCCCGTGTGCTCAGATTTGTGTGCACGTTAAAAAACCCCAGGTGGTCGAAATTTCCGGAGCCCTCCACTACGGTGTCTCTCATAATCATATGGTGGTTTTGGGACGTTAAACCCCACATATCAAAGGAGAACCACGCTGTAAAAAAAAACATTATTACACCGCGTGGAGAACCCTGCGCCCTCGTCTATGCTTTTAGTGTACCTTTGAGGTTGAGGAGGGGCACGTTAGATTATTGTTCGCTACCGCGATGAAAAATACACACCAGAAGGGGCATTTTAGTGTGCATAAAAAAGTCACAGATTTACCGCAGGGGTGGTGCAATGAACGCGATAGCAACAAATCGGAAGGTCACGCGCAGAACGGCAAGCAGATCGAAACGTGCTCCACGTTTCTCGCGCACAATGACGCACGCGACATACTTACGGGTACAGATGAACGCGAATAAGCGTCTCAGTTGTTACTTTGCTTTGTCGGAAAAGCGCACCCTTTTTTTGCAGAGACTGTGTAATGATTGCACTGACCTTTGTGCGCCCGGTAACTACAACAGAATCGTTCCGGTGAGAGCTGAAGGCCAGCCAAGACGTACGATTATTGCCACCGCGAGATAAGCGCACGCGCTAGCGTCCTCACTGCTCCTTCTCCGCGGGGCAAAGTACGCGTGGAAGATGAGAGAGCGCGTCGCCGCGCCGTGACAACACCGACTGAATTCCAAGGCCGAAAGGCTGCCGCAGTGACGTCAGAGGTTTGAGGCTGTTGCGAAACGGCGGACCGATCCCGCCGAAGCCACCACTGTTGCGAAAGACGGCGACGCCAACACGGCCCCGGAGGCGCCACTGCTTTCAACTCCGCCGGGAAGGTCACCAGCCGTTTGGTAGCGTATGTTTATCAGCTCGCGACTGCTTCTGCGCAGAGCTGATAAGACGAGCGGACGAGACGACGGTGAGTTAAACAAGGTTTATGTACAGCATATATACAGAGGCGTTACAATTTCGGCACTGGGGCCGACAGAGACTCGAAGAGCCGAGCTCTTCTCTCTAACACATTGTTCAGCCTTTCGCCTAAGACCGCTGACTCACACACATGTCGGCACTCCGACATGGGGGTTCCTCTCTCGTAGGACCGCCGATCGCGACGCGCCGCAGGGCTTCTTTTATTTACACCGAGTCCAACCAAAATGTCCAATCAGAAGCGCCGCTGGACGTCCGGGCAGATTCCGCCAATGGGGCCGCCGCGCCATGCGTCAGACCACCTGACACGAGGACGCCGGCTCGCTGTCACGTGCGCAACTGACTCACTGCACGTGGGCCAGAGGAGCGCCGCGCGTGTTCACGCCGTCGAGGTGATCGCGCCAGGCAGACGGCGGGCTGGCCTTGACCCAGATTGCCTTTTTCAGAGGCACGGTCGTTTGACGAGGACTCGCTGGCATAACAAGGCCCAGTTACCCAACTGAGCATGCTCAGTAAGACTTTTTTTTCCACATCTTTTATTCGGCCCAATCAAGCCGCAGCAGCTGCGAGAGCGGGAGCGTTTGTTCTCCTAAAACGCGAACGAAACACCGGCTTTCCGCAGCGTTCGCGGCGTAACTGGGCCTCCACCCTCTGACGTCACTGCGGCAGCCTTTCGGCCTTGGAATTTAGTCGGTGTTGGCCGTGACGATGTGGCGACGCGCGCTCATTGCGCCATCTTGCTGGTGATGCTCTAAACACGATAGTTCCCCCCGAGATGCCCGTCACCAGTGGTAAGTAGTAGATGCAAATAGCTTGCCGTTTGAACGTTGAAGCAGATGCTCCTTCGTGGCTCAGTGGTTAACGCCGGCCCCGCACTCACGACTCAGAGGTCCCACGTTCGATTCCACGCGCCGCAGTCTTTTTGTGAATTATTTTTTCTGGCGTTCTATATATATATATATATATATATATATATATATATATATATATATATATATATATATATATATATATTGTAATGAATCTGAATAACGGACGCTCTGCTGCTAATGAAGAAGACGATGATGATCGGTGGCTGTAGTAGTAGCTCGCGCACGCCGCTCGCCTTTAGCCAGACCTGCCTGATAATGCCACATTTTGCCAAGCTGCGTCTGAACCTTTCTCGACGTACAACAACTCTATTTTAAGATATATACCATGGCCGCTGTATGAAACAGCTCACGGGTGCGCTTATTCATCCAGCGCAGCGGCCGTGCATATACTATGAGTGACGGCGACGCCGACGTTGACGCCGGCGGCAAAAATATAGCTGAGATGATTGATTGATATGTGGGATTTAACGTCCCAAAACCACCCTATATTTTATGAGAGACGCCGTAGCGAAGGGCTCCGGCAATTTCGGCCTCCTGCGCTTTTTTAACGTGCGCCCAAATCTGAGCACACGGGCCTACAACATTTCCGCCTTCATCGGAAATGCAGCCCCTGCAGCCGGGATTCTATCCCGCGACGTGCGGGTCAGCAGCCGAGTATACCTTAGCCACTGGACCACCGCGACGGGGCAATCCAGCTGAGATTGCCCATATAATTGCTATCTCAATAAAAAAAAAGACAGCTTTGTACTAGTAGTACCAAACGTGAAGTGCGGAAGTGGACGGCCTGTTTCGTTTCTTTTTTGGTTGTCTTTCTTCCTCTTTTCTTTTTTTCCGTTTTTTGCGGCTTTTCTCCTGTTTTTTTAAAGATTTTTGCTTTATTTTATACGTATTCAGTTCTCCCTCTCTTAT